TAAATGAACAATGTGCTTCTATGACTTCAATACAAAAGGCAGTGCTTACCTCCAACCGAAGGGTTTCATTAATGAAAGTCTGCTTATTGGTATTGGCAGGTATTCCTCGATTGGTTTTATCGCTGCTTCGAATAGGGCTCCATCAATATAGCCCGTGTAATCTGTTAAAATTGCAATGTTAATTAATTGCACACTAGAAAAGTGAATATGTGTAGGAAGAGCGCAAAGTGCTCACCTAGCAACACTATTCCACAAGTTTCTTTCGAATCGGCAACTTCGCCAATTATTTTCGCATAAGTAAGTAAGTAAGTAAATAAGCATAAGTAAGCTGCCATTAGCAGCTTACTCAGTTGATTACCAGCGTCGAATGGAGCGACCTCAAGGAACGGATCGTACTTCAAAATCAGAAGGAGTCCGGTACGATGGTGTATGAACGGAAAAGCCTAAATAATCGTCTATTGACTCACATGTGCATCTCGTGGGCACATAACAATGCGGCTCGCTGTACATGCTGCGAAGCTGTCCAGTCCACGAGAGGTGTCCAATTGAAGAAGCAGCTTTCGACTGGATACCAACCCATAATAGCAGCCGTTCAGCCGTTACCGTGAGGGTTAGTCCTATCAAGGTTAGCGTCTCTAACGACCATTTGTCTCCGCCTCATCGCTGGCCATTGCACTCTGTCGACAGCAATGAGTCGCCAATGAGTGGAGGAGACTTTGGACGACGAGCACTCTTGGGTAACTTCATAGTCATCAAATTCAAATGGGCTGCCTGGAATGTCAGTTGCAATAAGTGCTTGTTGACAGCCATAATTATTTAAGTGTATACCGTGCTCTAGCGGCGGGGCACTTGGGAGCGTCTTCATCCTCATCGCTGGTGACCGTGAGGTGGAAATGGACCTACCACGTGATCATCATGAGAGCGCCCCATTGGAACCATAAACACCGGTATTGTTTCCGGACTGTCCTCTGTTCTTTCGAGAGTGCTGCTTCCAGTGGTCTCTACGACGAACTCTTCGCGACTTTGCGTCGACGACTCTGGGGCGCGATGTTGATCGCTCGTTCCAGCCATCACATTACTGCCGGATGCTCCTTGAAAATGCTGTTGGTCGCTTCCTTCAGCCATCTTTTCACTGCCGCTTGCATCCGCCTTTTTCGCTGTTTTTCGTTTGAATAATTTTTTGATGCTCCACTTCGTTTTCTCAGCTTTTACGGGAATTTTATGGGGCAATTGAAGATCGGAATCCACACTGCTGCTGTCTCCCAAGGTTTCTGCTGGAATTTTCTATTTTTTCTGAACAGTTTTGCTCAACATCATCGCAGCTTAAAGGCATGCCCCAGGATCGCACTGGTGTGGCTCTTGCACACGAATGTGAATGTATCGGTGCCAAGTGGGCCGGCAGTGAAGAAAAAAGGAAAAGAATCCGTCGAAAACGCTCAGGTTGAGGGCTCACTCACCTTCCTAATTGGCTGTGCTAAAGGAACGAGAGACTAAGCGCGAAGAGGAGAGTATGGGGCGAGAGAGCGCATCAGATGAGAGAGCACCAGACAACGGCCTGATAAGAGAGCTCGTTCGCTGCAGCTCGAGCAGCTTACTTTGCAAGCCCAAAGCGTTCTTGTCGGTCGAATTCCGTGCACGTGAACGCCACATTTGTGATTGTCCCCTAGGGTTCTATACTTCTGACCGAAGAGAAGAGTTATAAAAAACCTCTGCCTGGGTTGTGCCTTTAATGTCATGTGTGATAACATAATCGAACACCTTAGTAATGCGCTTGAGGCTTTCGCCTGCTTTTCGTGAAATCGCCGCACTCCGCTGATTGCCATTCTATCAGCTCCCACCGCCCCCCTCCTTAAACATAAGCATATGAATATGTGAAACCAGTTCTGGTATCTCCTTGGAAGAAACGGGCAATTGTACTAACTATGAGTTGGTCTTGAAGGGAACGTATTCGCCGAAGTCGGACTCCGCAGCGGCATCCTCTTCATCCTCGGTATACGATTCGCGCTCCCCCTCCGCTCCCTCCAAGTCCGATAACTGTGCGGCTTCGTTATAGTAATACTGAAAGATCTCTTAATATTGTGCTGTCCCGGAGCCTCATCAGCACCTAAATATTGTATAACACAGAGAGGCACCAAAATTTTATTTCAAAAGAATTCCAAAAGTTCAGAAAGTTCGAAAATTCCAAAAACTCGAAAGTTTCAAAAGAGCAAAAAGCTATTTGAAAAAGAATCCTTTTGAAATCCTCCGCGATATTTCGGTGTTTAACACCTTCTTCAGGCATGTGTTTGCCACTGCCAAGTGTAAAGCTGCCCTTACGGGAGCCGCGCCTTTGTAGTGAAGAAAATGATTTTTCTTTTCTTTCTTTTCTTATTTTCTATTCATTTTCTTTTTTCAATAATTTCCTCTTCACTACAAAGGCGCGGCTCCCGTAAGGGCAGCTTTACACTTGGCAGTGGCAAACACATGCCTGAAGAAGGTGTTAAACACCGAAATATCGCGGAGGATTTCAAAAGGATTCTTTTTCAAATAGCTTTTTGCTCTTTTGAAACTTTCGAGTTTTTGGAATTTTCGAACTTTCTGAACTTTTGGAATTCTTTTGAAATAAAATTTTGGTGCCTCTCTGTGTTATACAATATTTAGGTGCTGAGTTAGCAAAGTATGTTTTCCAGAGCAGGAGTCTGAATATGTCAAAAAATGAGACCCACCCCATAATTTGACGCTCGCTCCGCGCGCATCTGCCCCGGATAGTCCTTTCTGCCTTTCAGCAAAGATCCTTATGACGCGATATCCCTTACTGCTGCTCTTGTGGAGTTGTCCACATAGTGTAGCAGCTGGACTTCTGGTGTGTGACCTTGAAAGTTGCGCATGTATTTTCCATCATTTTGTACTATCACAAATACACTGTACTGTGTTGGCTAACCTAGTAGTGCGCAAACATTGGGATCGGCTGGATCCACCCGTATAATATTGCCTTGAATCGTGGTGCTCATCGTAGTTAGTCCCGCTAACTTGGTGTCTTACCTGTAGCATGATGAGAGGAATTTTCAGCCGAAAACAACCACTCATCCAATGTTGCTCACACTTACCGAATTACATGTAATTCCCATATCTTCGCAATTGATCATTTTGAAAAAGCGTCTGAGGAGATTGGGGGCGGAAGAACGCGATAGATTCTGACCGCTCCACAATAGGAAAAAACAGCACGCTTCATCATCCATGTTTTCAAGATCATGCTGCCGTACAATGCTAGAAACAAACAACGCCTTTTCGTGGACCGATGATGGGCATCCTCACTATGACCTGCAAAGTACGCAGCTTCCGATAGTGTTGCAGCCATTGGTATGACTTCTTTTCCAGAACAAATAAGCCACTTTTGCACGCTCTCTCTCTTTGCGAACTTGCCCTCCCTGCTTCGGTGATGGGTAGCGTGCAACCTAAGTGTGTTACTGGTAACCTGATGGCACAAAAATTTGTCTATCAATATCCGTCACGGAATAGCGCCATGTGAGGTTCAGTATGAAACGTAGCTGATGATAGAGTATTACCCAAAAATCCTCGGTCGACACCACTTGTTTCACGAGTCCCATAGGCTGAAATGCTGTGCGGGCGTTTTCCACCAGACTACCACATACTGTTTTATAAGCCGCCTCGTTTCTTGAGGAACTGCAGACAACAAAGTATGCCAATAGAGCACTGTAATTCGATAAAGTGGTAGATGTCGAGTGTATATTTGTGGATTCGTAAGCTAATGAATATACGTAACTTACCTCATAACGAAGTTGTACTCAGCAAGTCCATCGGTTCACTGGCGGATTTCTTCATTATACTTTCAATCTTTTTGGCAATCATACGGTGATTGACGACTGTTCGCGTCACTCCATCAAGCGCGGATTCCTTGAAAACAACAGAAATCTCGCGTAGTTATAGACTTGTTTCAAACCGTACGAACCTTCTTAGATTTTCCCATTGAGACGACTCCTCTATGCGATTGCACTTTCGACTCGTCGCGCTTCAGAGTTTTGTAGTGGTGCCCCAACAGATTGAGCGCATTGTTTGCCACCCCCTTTCTCTGCTCGCCAGCATCTGTTCACAAACACGGTGCTTTGCATAAGATACGAAGTATGATTATAAAGGATAATCACTAACCAGCGTAGAATCCCTGGAATCGCTAGAAATTTTTAGAACGAGGTCAGTGACTTGACAAAGCTCATACGAACATTGACTGTCACTCCGCATTGTTGCGCCTTTTGTAAGAACTCTGGTATCATGTAGTAGGCGAACAGTGCATCGTCCACAGTGACAATATTCCCACACCTGAACTTCGTCATTCTTCTCCACAAACAACCACCACAGGCATGAGGAGATTCACTTACCGCTGACGCCCTCTCATCGCTATAAGCATGAATCGGCAGACGTTAGCTCTGTGGGTGCATTAGTGTGGTTTGATTTGAGATGTGACTGCTTACCTCCGATTAGCTGGAATAATTACTTGAAGCATGATAGATCGAATGTCACGTCTCACAAATTCCTTACAATGAAAGTTTCGAGACTCTCTTTGAAACGCTTCAGAATAGGGTGTTGCTCTTCCTTCAACTTCCTCCACAGCTTCATAAAGAGGTCGGCGCGTCTCATCCAGTCTTAACAATGTGGAAGGTCAGGAGCGATTTGCTCATGAGTTGCATGGCATGACCGATAAGCCTTTGGAAACATACCCGAATCTGCTGGCACATTGAAATCCTGCACGAAGTAATGTGGATCGTATTCATCGTCATAGTAGTTGAACATATGAACTGAGGAGTGCCGAATCGTGAAATGAGGATGTATTTGCGCTCCACCTGTAGGCAAATCCGAATAGCGTGTTGCCATTTTCTGCTTGAGTAATTGGCTCACCTCTGTATTGCTCGTCAAAGCCGTGTCTATACTCAAACTCACGAGGTATGAACGGAGCACTGAACGTTGCTGGTCTCGTGTGCTAAGAGGGAAGTTTCAGATTGATCAGATTAGAAAAATAGATAGCGATTGAACATTCTTGAATTTCGCATATACACACCGATGAAAAAGAAGTAGAAGCCTCTTGACAGACGGTCCTGCTTGATCCATGAGTTCCAATTGTTGGCATTGTATTCGGGGATTGTCTGCCATAAAACGCTCGCGGAACACCACATGTCGCTCCAAAACCTGCAACACTGCGCACTGATGTTGCGACAATGAATGAATGAAGCAAGAGTAAAAGGTGTGATGAAGGGAATGGAGAGGACCCCATAAACAGGAACACCGCCGTTTCGTAGTTGAGCCACAATTTCTTCATACGTGTCCCATTCTCGGTCAGTCCTTGGTTCGGGTATCCGCGTGAAGTCAACGCTCGCTTTCTTCGTTCTTTCCAACATTCCGCGACCCGTATGCACTAGGACCTGGACACAAAAAACTGCAGTCTATTCATCTCCGTGACGTACCCTTGGAAGAAAAAACTCAACCCACCTGTATTTCCCATTTCTCCGTGAATTCCTTATGCACATCCTGTATATGACCAGCTAAACTAGTGAATTTCTTGTGTTTTCCGCACACTAAGCAGAATTGGTAGCCTCTTGACGGTATGCTCGGAGAATACACTTCTGAATAGACAGTTTTATCTGGGATGTATCGTAGCTAACAATAAGTGTTCACACACTGCCGCTAAGTAATAATGAAAGCCTACCGTCTAAAAGCTCAACAGGCGGTTTCGGAATTTTACCACTCTCTATCCATGATGGTATGCAATCCTTTGCCAGTGCAGCAACTTGATCGCTTGATAGTGGGACCTCGCCCTGATCAGCACTCTTTGTCTTCTTCGTCTTATGCCGCATCACGAGATGCACTTCACTCTCTACCCCTACTCGTTCATCTTGGTTGCCGGGCATTTTCTTTTTAGTTGTTCTAGTGTCAACCTGAAACGTATTTTGAGCAAATAGATACCAGATGTGTTCTTTAGACACATGCCATATTTATTTCGACGGATTTGCATATGTCAACTAGAAACCGTGAACAAAGAAATGAGCGCTTGATGACAGTGCCTGTGTTTGAAATGTGCTCGAGTTTTTGTTAATATTGTTGTCAGTCTTTGCTACAACGAGCCTTGTTGTGCGTATCTGTTTTGTTATTTGTTGTTGTTGTTGTATAATGTTTTTATTGTTGTCGCTGTTGTTCCAGAAATCCTCCGACAATCCGTTTTGAAGACAGCACAGTGTTATCTGGTGCAAGTTGTGTTAGGCTGTATTGTTAATCTGCATACAAGTGTGAAAAAATACGAGACGACGGGAAGAAAAGGCAAGAATAATCGAAAAGAAATGAAAGAAAGCAAAACATGTTGAATGTAAACAAAGTGAAAATTAAATTAAAGATTGTACTTAGCAAAAATAAGTGTTCGTCATCGTATATTGTAAAATTGGATATAAATGAAGTGAACTTCTTGTTGGTATTTGTAGTGGTATTGGTTTTAATCCATGAAATCGATGAGACTCATGAGAGGGAGTCTTCAAAACAAAACGATTTCCCACTGAGAAAGCGCTTTTTTCTGGAGACTCCCTCCTTGTTATATGATGTAATTGTGTTGTTTAGTTGTTAGTGTAACCACTGTTGTGAAAAGTTACAAGGCGACAAGAAGAAATCAGAGCAAAGGAAAAGGAAAGAAAAAGAAAAACGATCAAAATTGACCACAACCTACAAAATGGAATGACAAGCAAAAGAAAAATGAACGAGGCAAAGACAGGGGGAAAAGGAAAAGCAAAATGATCACAAAAGTGACCCACAGTGAAAATTGAACATAAAGGTTAGAAAAAATGTGAAAGGAGTTGAATAATACAGCTATTCTGAGACGTATGTGAAAGCCATTATACACATACTTGATCAAGGACCACGTGATCTCGTTTCCAAAAAACCAATCCATTCAAATGCCCTACTTGAAGTCATATCACCATTATAGTGGGTGTTCCGCTTCACAATGATCTCTGTAGGGCAAGCACAACTGCAGATGCACTACTTACTAGATCCGATTGACCAGCTATGCAGGGAGAAGCCTTCACTTATCATAGGTCTCGTCTTAGGAGTACATTTGTGTTCATGCCACTATTTTCTAATCCGCCCATCACTTGACTCCCGTCCAGTGACCCTTTTGACTCTCTATATAGAGTTTCGCAGAGCATTTAACAATCCTAAAGTGGTGTGCTGACGCAACGTGTAGTCTAGCGCTCATTATTACTCTGACACATTTACAATCACTTTCCCAGAATCTTCTGCGAGTTCATTATCGGACAGATGGGTGAGTTGACCATGAAATTGATATTCAATCTAAATTTGAGGTCGTCCTGCACTTCCTTCTCGACATTTTATTCCCTATTTCCTTGCACTGCACTTTCACAATGCGAGGAAATGAAATCTGGAACGGTAGTAGGTGGCCTTAGCTGCTACTCCCATTTGACCATGAGCTCGTGATAACCTGGTGAAGGCTTCCATATGAAGTTCCCTCAAACATGCGTAGAGCACCTCTGGAACCCCTCCGAAGATTCTCCGTCAGAAGTTGAAGTGAGTTCGAACTCACTTGGAAGTCCGGATGATCACGTCATGTGGCAATAAGAGGATTAGCACGCGAACCGCAAACGCTACACCATTGACGAATCGATGCAAGGTGTTTCACTTCCCCTTTCTAACATCCTCCTTTGACCTACGCTCCCTGGCAGTTACAATGTGGCCATAGCCGAAAAGTCCTCCGGAAGACGTTTTACGCTCAAGACTTTCCTGTTAATCCGATCTGCAAGGCATGTGCATGTGTAAGTGACTTAGAAAACTTAAAATCTTATGAGATTCAGGTCAACCGCCCATTGCGGAAGGGGGATGGGGTTGTAACTCAAGTACCAGTCACAAAATATACAAGGATATTAAGGCATGGCAAAGTGATCGGGGAGGACAGAGTTTTAACCACCACTACTTCTCTCCACAGGCGATTTTTAATGTCCTAAAGGTGCTGGCAGAAGAAAGCTTTCCATGTCAAAGCTTTCCAAGAGAATGTAGAATATGCTTCACACCACTGATCTTGTAGATGTCAATGCTTTACAACTTCTCATTATACCAATTTTGCATAACAAAAACTTATGAGCGTTTCAAACTTGGCATCTCACGTTCAGGAGAATAGCCTGAAGAGGTCATAGAGGAAAAAACGGAACAACGGGACTATTCGTTGTCATGTTTGTTCGAATATGTAGAAAGATATAAATAGCTAATACAGGGGGTCGTACGGATATTCTTAGAAGGGGAGGGGGTTCGCAAAATTTCGGAACCGGCGCTGCGCACGGTTGACCCTGTTGGCAACTAGTGCCCTGCTCCAAGCATGACCCAGATGAAGTTCTGGATCGAGCCCCTCCCAAAACAACAGAGCTTTCTGTGCTGGTTGGGTAGCTTAAGTATCGGTCATTCGACAATGTAATGCTCCCGCCATTTATAACCTCTACTACTCTATTTTTACTACTATTCCAAAAGCGTAGAAGGATGTCGTGGGCGGCCCATGCCCAATAGAAAAATTCCGACATGCTTAATTTCACCCTTTTGCCTGCTATCTGTGGAACAACTTGCGTCTAGAGATCTGCCTACATTGCCCCTTCAGATAGCCTCAAACGTAAAAAGAGCTGCGTTGCTACCCACACGAAGCTTCTATATGACCTTGATCGAAAAGCTTCAGAGCTTAGGAATCACGATAATATGGCAAGTTTATCAATGATATCACTATATGGCGTGGTGCCTAGATGAGTTGAAAGAAGTGGCGTGGTGACGGTGGTGCCGATTATCAAGCACGGTGTCCTCGGGTCTCACTCGTTCAGCCCATACAAACCCCTCATCTATCAGGACCGATTAACCAACATACTAGTATGTAAGTGGGATGGTATTGGAGTAAATATCAACTGCACTCCCCCCCCCCCTCATGCTGTCCTTATTTAAGGCAAATCGCTTTGAAAGGTACTACTATTCTGCTGTAATCAGAATACGAGGCGCATATCAAAGGTGACTGGGCAGCGCCAAATGCTTTGCCCTTTCTCTTCAGCACATCAATGCACTAGAGGTGACACCCGTACCCACTACGTTCTGAGATATGATGTGAGATATGATGGCCTTCAAGTCAATCTCAAAGACTTCGCTCATGACAGTGTCCAGTATGAAAACTTCCTTCAAGTTTACATGTATTCTTACTATTCCACCAGCCAGAACCTTCTTTGCCGCAGTAGCCTCATTAGCCGGCGACTGATTCAAGGTCACCCTGAAATACCTTCCCCACCTACCCACCTTCCCTTCAGTTGATGGCGCCCGTGGTTTAGTTAGAAATAGACCAATCCGATGGTACTCCTTGCACGCTCATTCTAAAAAACGCTACTTCTTGTGTATATATCCTAGAAATGCAACGTTTGGTTCTGGTGTTTAACACATTGACGACAATGCGAGTTTTGGCTTTTTTGGCCACGTGGGACCGCGGCGATTTTGCGGGCGCGCTCGCCTCAGGTCGTTCAAGCAGATTTTGAGTGATAAATACATAAATAATGATCAATACAAAACCAGATCAGTAAATTGTAATGAGCACAACCTACTCAGGAGTAGTTGTGAAATTTCGATGGAAAATGAATAACAATGAAACAGCGAAATATGGCAGAACCAGCTGCAATGGGCTTCAGAAGTATAATAATTTTACGTTGATTATTTCCATCAAAACCACATCTTGTCATCTCTAAGGTTCCGTGTCTACTCCTACTATGTAAATTCGTCACTTATAAAAGACAAAGCAGTTTAAAGAAGCGATTATTAACATGGGGCAGGTCGCTATTGGGTGTATGGTTTCGTATGGGTTCTAGAAATCTATTCTATTTGTAGCTACGTCAAGGTCTCTTCCATGGAATGAATACAAGAAACTTCTAAAAGAATCAGGCGTGCGCGAAAAAAATGAGTGTAATGGGTGCGGGGGATATATATCCCGCACGGTCCGACATGGCCTGCAATGCGCGGGATATATATCCCCGCGTTGTCGTCAATGTGTTAATCCACTGATCATATCAGCGCAAAAGGCGAGATCTGCCGCTGCAAACCCTTCCTAGCCTCACGGGATGGGTAGGATAACTCAGGATAGTCCAAAGTCCCAGAACGACCACACAGCATTATATGTCCACTTGTGGTTTTTTATTGGGCTGGATAGAAGTCCTGCAACACTTTTCAAACTTCCCTTTCTGAAAAATGCTTGAGCAACATTTATGGCCTACAAGTGGTAGAGCATTCTCGAGGCAACCAGTCGCTGGGTGAACATTGGCGCTGCAGTCAGTAGTTGTCCAAAAAAGCTCGAAAAACTTTACCATATATGCCTATATCATATACCTCACATAAAAAACCAACACCATATGGAATAGCATCAGCCGGGGAGTCGGTCCCACTACAGCGTGTTTCACCTGTGCCACTGCTTTCGATCTTCTGACTTCTTCAAAGGGTTAGCGGTGCCTCCCACCCTTCACTGCAGGTATTGTTCTCACGGACGGTACAAATTCTTTTGTTCTTCGATATAGGAACCATTGAGATCAGATGCTGAACTGCGGGGGTTGGCCGAGGCAGCCTGTCAAAAGTGCTCGTACCGCGACAATGTTCATTTACTTCATGACATTGCGAATCACCATGTCCCGAATGAACCCGTGAAGAACCTGAAGCTGCGACGATATTTCTTGCCCAGCGTATTTCCCTGGTCAAATTCCTGAATGGTTGGTACCTATTAGAGGTTTTCAGTCATCGTCATCATGATGGAATAATTCAACGATCAACTCCAATTCAGAAAAAAAATCGTTTTTTT